CAATGTGCCTGGCTTGTGGCAAGTTTGCTCCTGAGGCTGGGGAAAAAGTCCTCTACTAGAAAGATGTTTACAGATGTTTCCACTAAGCAGCCTTTGACTATACAGATGAATGCTAGCGACATATGGGTAGGGGTGTATTTGCAACAGGGTGTGTACACCACGAAATTGGAAGACTTTGGCAATGAATGGGATCAGAGATTGGTACTGGAAGAGTTAGACCTGGAAGGGGAGAGAAGGAGACATCTAATAATTCTGATATTTTCCTAGGATATGGAACAGGAACCTCTGATTCTTTCCTCAATGACATTTTTATGAGGGTAACCATCTTAAAAAGTTTAAGGTGCAAGCTAATGCCTGCATTATTTCATTATTAAGTCAGTGAAATGTTGTCTATAGCACCCTTTATATGTGTATTTCCCATTTGGAGAATTCAGTGTCACAAATGCCTTATCCTGATCGAACAGCATCAGTGAAATGAGACTTCTCCATCAGATTTCATTTGTTGAATTTAACAGGTGGTGATGAGTTTACTATTATGTAGTAAGTCACGTGGGACTTGATTTATGTTCTATTTAATTAAGTATGCATGTTGTGTAGTCCCAGCAGTTGGCTGTATTACACTAGTTAGCCACTGACAGCTGACATATTCAAAAGCAAGAGAGGGCAAATGTCACTTAAATCCCAGACATCCAATCTTCCAAACAGTCACTGTTGCTTGTTGCCACTTATTGGGCACTAGTCATGTGCTACCATGGCAGAGATTTAGCACAGAACAAAGACCTTTGTCCTTAGGAGAAAATGGGAAAACTTCAAAGGCATGATATAGAAGTATAGAAATGCTAAAACGTCTCCAAGACAAATATTGATCACAATTTAAAGTGATTTTTAAATTGTCTTCCTTGTCAGCAGTCCTTTGATATTTTCCATGAATACAATTGCAAGGCTTTTAAAAACATGAGGTTTGTGTCACCATGATAGCATTCAATGTAAAGTTATTCCTTGGTGCAGAGGTGGGATGTTGGAGAGAAGGCTAGGCTCACTCACTGGCTATCAGTCCATTCAGGGGTGTACAATTATACCTGAAAAACACTGAAACTTACAATGGATCATAGAGCTTTGGAGCCTGTGAGCCTTAATTTTATGTGTCAACTTGGAGGGTATTTTGGATGAGACTCACATTTGAATCAGTGAACTCTGGGTGAAGCAGATTTCCCTCTGTAATATGGGTGGGTCTCATCTAACAAGCTGAAGGCTTGAAAAGAACAAAAACACTGGCCTCTCCAAGCACAAACTTCATCTGCACCATTGGTTCTGCTGGGCCTCTGCCTACCAGTCTTTGGACTAGAAGTGCACTGTTGTCTTTCCTGGGTCTCCAGCCTGGTAGTGCACATGGAAGATTTTTAACTGGCCAGTTTCCATAATTACATAAGCCAATTCCTTGTAATAAATCTCTTTCCCTCTCTCCTTCTATCTCTCCCTCTGACCCATATCTGCTCCAATGACTGTATTAACTACATGTTGTTTTAATGATTCAATAATGGCAGCAACAGGAGGTATCGAACAGGATAATGGGGTGTCGGCAAAAGATTATTTATTTCTATGTTTGGTGTGTTATATAATTTCAAAATAACTTTTTGTCAAATCACTTTGTTTTGGTGTTTCTATATAGCCTATATTCTCAAAATGTTCTATATACATCCAAATGCCTGGTCTGCAAAGGCTTCCTGCAGAAGGTGGCATATTGCTAATGCACTTCAAGATGGGAACTTGAAAGATATAAAAAGGATTTGACATCTGGCATGGTGACTCAATTAATTACTGTGTTGGATTAATTAGTGTGCTGAATCTCCTAAGCCAACACCATGAGTCTGAGCAGAGATACATTACATTGGTTGGCGAATAAGCACTTTAGGAGTGTGCTAATTCCAAATTTTGATTCAAGGTTGGGTAAGGAAGGGTTAGGAGGCTATATATTTTATGATAAGGAAAATATATCTTCATGATATAAAATACATGTTAAAGTCCTGTCCAAATTATATGAAATTGCAGGAGCCTTTGCATTAACTCGTACCTGCACAAACAGTCCAGGAAGTACCATAACAAATATTTTGCCTAAAGTAAGAAAAAAAGAGCACACTTCTAATCATTGCACATTTTCTCCAGAGATTTTTATAAATTTAGAATTTAAGTGAAAAAATCCTAAACAATTTTATCATGTTCAAATCACATTACAGATGCTCTTGAGAAGACAGTGTGGCATGATCTTTAAAAATGCAGAATCTGGAATCAAAAGGCTGAGCCTTTATTTGCTTATCTATAAAACGCAATTTTAAATAGACCCAAATTCTCAGGTTTGTTTTGAGGATTAGATGAACGAATCCATCTTGAATTCTTTATACAGTGGATAAGAAAGAATAAGTATGCAGTATATGCTAGCCGACTGTTCCACAGTTGTTCAACGGTAGTACCAGGGGTATTTAATGACATAAAGTCAAAAGTAATTTCTGGAAAAGAATGTTATTACAACAGAAAAATATTTTGAAATGTATTTTGGCAAAGCAATGATACCTTTAAAAAGAGAAAAATACTACAGTATAAAGGAATCACATGAATCAAATATTTAAACCCTAAGGCAAAAGACGAAACCTAGAGTATTATTTTCTTTTAAAAATTTATTACCCACTACTGGTTTTTGATACCTTGAAGAGTATTCATAGTCTTCCAATAATATCAAAAATTCTGAAAACTTCATATCTATAAACTGAATCCTTTAAAAAAATATATTACATATGGCATAAAATAGCCTTAGATTAGTACAGGAGTATTTTTAAAAAATACCTGTCTAAAAAATGGGAAATTATTTCGTTGAAAGACTCACCTTTCGCAAATAGGTTTATTTTGCACATGTCACAATTTAGCATATGCTAAAAATGTGTAGAAGTACCACCCTACATATATACACACATATATAGATAGATAATTATATAAAGGTCAAAAATTGAATTTTAATATAGATTTTATCTTGATAAGGTAAAAGGGAAAACATTTCTTTTATTTCAGTGGTAGTACACTTTTTAAGAAATATCAGAGAAATAACTAAAGCTTATGTTGGTGACTGATATGCAGTGATAAATAAGTATCTGATTGCCTAAAACATTTTTTAAGTAAAGCTAGAGAACCAATAGAAACCTCCAGATAAAATGGGTTTAGAATAGCATTTAACTCAAACTTTGGTGTGTAGACAATCTTCCTGTTGCCTTTGCTTGAGAAATCTGTGTGGTAAATATTGTTCTCTCACAGGAGTCAATAGAATAGTCTACTTAATACAACTCCACCAACCAAGGACTGCAGTGTTTATGGGGCCACATCTCAAAGACTTTTTGAAATAAGGTGCACTGGACCACTAAGAATTCAGTTGCCTGATCATTAAATATTTAGCTTGGCCTACCAACTTGTTTGGTTCTTAAATACATGTGAAATCTCCCACTTCATCCTCTTATGGACAAATGTGTGGATTTGGGAAGTAAAAATTACACCCTACAATCTCCCATGTTGTTTAGAAGTTTGGTGACACAAATATTTCCTATTTATTCCAATCATTACTTTTAGGTGAACCAATAACCTCGGTCTCATCCACATGCACTGAATAAGCAGAGATCCACACATACCAGTTTCTTTCGTGTAATAAACTTGAGGAAGAATTTCTTTCATGTAACAAATTGAAGAAGGAATGCAATATTGCTGAGTTCAGTACATTTGTCAAGACCCTTCTGGGAGTTTTTATGTCCCTATAGTGTAGACTGAGTCGTTTAGCAGCCATGAGATCTTCCCATATAAGTGGCATTTAGAGAGAAAGACTTTCATTTCATATATATAATTTGTGAATCTCCTAAATAATACAAAACATTTTTCTCCTCAAGTTTTATCACTTGTATTATCACTTAAATAGGAGAGGTCCTAAAGTCCTAATCCCTGGAACTTGAGAATGTTACCTTACACGGCAAAAGGGAATTAAGGAAGCAGATGGAATTAAAATCGCTAATCAGCTGACCTTAAAATAGGACCGTTGGCCTAGATTACCCAGGTGGGCCCACTATAATCACAGGTGTTCTTAAATGTGAGAGAGGGATACAGAAGACTCAGAGTCGGAATGTGGGTATGACGAAGACTCAATCAGCCATTGCTGGCTTTGAAGATGGCAGGGAGCTGTGAGCCAAGAGATGTGGGCAGCCCCGAGAAGATGGAAAAGTGAAGGAAACACCTCTAGAGACTCCAGAGAGGAACTCAGCCCTGCAGATAGTGAATTTTAGCCTGGTGAGATTCATTTCCGACTTCAGACCTGCAGAAATGCAAGATGATACATTGTGTTGTTTTAAAGCCATAGAGTGTGTGGTAGGTAATTTGCTATAGCAGCAAGAGAGAAAGCTAAAATACCCAATTAAGAAATGAAGTTTAAAGGTACCCACACATCCTATCTTTCCACTACTTTTTAAAACATCGAATTCATCAATTAACCATATAAGCTTACCTAGAGGAAGATTTTACAGAGATTTTCCAAGGAAGTTAACAAAAATTATGATGCTAATCATCCATCTTTGCTCTTAAAGGTGCAAATAATATTACCAAGGAATAACAAGGTTGTTTACTTCTTGTTCTTCATGTAAACCTGTAATGTATGACAATTAATTTGTGTCATCTTAAAAATAAAAGCATTTGTATATATTATTAAGTGTGAGTAGTAGTAGCCTGGCTAAGCAGATAAAGCAACAACCTTATAAATTACCTTACTAAACAACCACTTAGTATGATTAACCTGTTTCCTTCTAAATTCTGCGTGTATTACTGTCAGAGACAAACCACTTGGAAAATATCCAAGTTTTGTGGTCCATGAAAAAGAAAAAACAAACTGTTATTTTTAGTGATTTCCCTGGGAAGCAAGCAGAGATAATTTCTGAGCTATGACAAAATACTGAGTCAACCATCTCAGAACATCCACATACCAAGGAATTATTATTCAGGTCCATCTTCCCAGCAAATGGCCCCCAGGTTGTTCCCACAGGAAGTTGCTGCCGACTCTGGATTTTCCGTTCTCCGTCTTTCTGAAATACCTCCAGCTCCCCTGCAGACAATGAAAACAAGAGGTGTTTGGAGTACTTTCACGTGTGCCTTACCCACAGCCACCTCTTTTTCTGTGTTGGCTTTGCACACCGCAGTATTCTCGGGATTCGTATTAAGAGAATTAATTATGCTTGTCTGAAAAACAACTGATCTTGTTATCCTGAGAAGAAAATAAAACTTGTCCTTAGAATTGTATTTGGAATTTAGTCCAATTTCTTTCTTGCACCTTTTCACACACATCATCTACAGAAGTCAATTCTATTTAGTAAGTCCTGAAGAACCTGAAATAATACCTCAAAAAACACTGCTCTAATGGAAAAACAGGTAGGCAAAAAACATGACGACAATGGCTCAGAGTTAAAATTTTATATTTGATCACCAATGTAATTAAAAATTATAATTAAAGATATGTATCTTATGCAATAACTTTATTATAGTTACTCAAGACTCATGGTCAACAACATCTGGCGAGTTTTTGAAAGCACTTGGTAATTTTCTGAAATTACTACTAGTTTCAAGGGATAAAATATCTACATGTATAAAAAGTAGAGGTGTATGTTTTCCCAAATGAAAAAATGTTTAATCAAACTCATTACATTTTTATATTTGGTACTTGATGTAGATTCTATGTTACCAAAAGAGTTTGGACAAAAAACACTTATGAAACAGCCAGTTTTGGATGGTCTTCGTCCTTTCATTGCCTCCAATTTATTACATTAGGATCATTAAAGGGAAATAGGAAGTAAAGACAGTATACACATTGCCATAAAGTAGGAATTCATCAAATGCTCCCTTAAGAAATTTATTTAAGAAATAAATTAATAAAAAAAATGAAGGTTTCAAAGCTTCAAAGAATAACCATCAGTCTAAAAGCTGTTTGGGATAAACAAACCAACAAAATCTCGACCAGGAATTGGAGCCTTTCTCTTTAAATAATTAAATCTATGAAATTTATGTCCTGACAGTATCACTATACCACATTATCATAGCAAAAGATTTATATTTCAAAATATTAATCTTAATAATATAATTTATGTTTTTTATTGGTATTTCTTCTCACCCTGCTCAAGAGTAGACATGAAAATGTGAAGGAATGGGTTAATAAGTATAAATAGAAACCATATACAACAGATATATATATATACAACAGATAGCTGAGAAAAGTTCTAAATAACACAGAACGTATTCAGTAGTTACATTTTCTAAGAGATACATAAGTCATGGTAGGTAATATATTATAAAATTTTTGCCTTACTCTGGCCTTAATTTCTTTTCAAGTCTTTAAATATGTACATTTAATTTTGATGTTTTTAAAAGCAATACCATCAACCTGAGTTCAGTTAGATCTTTCCTTTATTTCTTCACATTTGTGTCTCTTCCATTTAACACCAGTTAAAATACCAGACATTACTTTTCACGTTTTTATTATTGCTTATCCTGAAAACCAAAATCAAAGTATGTAAACCACAGTCAGCTAAAATATTGTGTCATGGTTCCATGATGTCAATTATGAAAATATAAATTTATCTGTATTGGGACAATGAAGATACAATGGAAATAACAATCCCAGGCTCACAGTAAACAATGTCAATTCAAGGATGACAGCTCCATTCTCCCTTCTTGTCGTACTCCCTTTCTCTCCCACTTGTCAAATACACTAAAAGTGGAAGAACTCATTAAACTCATTAAGATAGACACACACATCCCCCTCCTTTTCTTTTCATTCTGATGTACCAGTAGCTAAAGATGATCAGTAATTAGGAAAATGGACCCAAAAAAAAATTCTGTAAGTCTGAGCTTTCAAAATGTAGCTTTATAAATAGAATACTTGCAACAAATAATATATTAATGCTTAAGTATCAAATCCCAAATCCAGGGAATATGGAATAATAATAATTTGTTTTCTGTAGGTGGAATAACAAACCCATTTCTGAGATTTTCCCCTGAAAATGTTTTTTATCCTTATACAATCTTTTTGATTAATGCACTGGAATCAGAGCCTTATTCACAAAATTCTCCAAGACAGAGAATAGATAACAATCTACTATGATGTCAACAAGGATTCAGTGGAAAATGTCCCTCAATGTATATATTCATATGTGATAACGTACTTATTTAAATCTTTCAAGATATTTTTTTCTATTTGAAAAGAAACTTTAATTTCTGATAGTTCTTTGAATTTTTCAACCATACATACTTAAGTTTTAAGCAATTTCTTTACAATTTACCATTTAAGGATAAAATACATTTCAATCCCTCTGCTAAATACTAGTTAAGAATGTTCTTTTCTATGTAAAAATGATGCCCAAATAATTTGCTTGTTTTTATACACTAAAAAAAAGTCATGTCACATTTAAGTGATACCAGAGAAATCAGAGGATCTTTGAAAACCTTTTTAAAAAGTAATTTGTCCTCTCTTTCTGCCACTGACATTTTTCATTTGAAAAGGTTCACACTCAGGCAAACAGTGACTTCTTATCTATACCTGTGGATTTACAAGTAGCTCTTTCTTTTAATGGATTAAGAACTACAAACTTAGGGCAGATCATAAAGTGATACCTAAATATCACCAAAGTTCTTGAGGTGTCTTTGACTATTCATTAAAATTTTAAGCAAACCAAAACTACTTTTATGAGCTCTTAAGCATGACCATAACAGAAGGTCCAGTAACGTTTCAAGCTAACAAGACAATCTTTTGAACTTTATTAGGCAAACAGGCAAATCCCAGTCTCCTTTCTTGCTTATAAAGAAGTTATTCTGAGGTTTGGGGAAATCCATTCTGTTGCTGAAGTATTAAAATAAACATACTCATTTATTCACAACAGGGTTAAAGAAATCCACAAGCACAATGCAAATAATTAGCATTTACACACTACCAAGGCTGCACAGGTTAATGATAGAGAAATAAGACATTGTATAAATGGAAGTTATATTTGATTTAACTTAGATGTTGCTTAACAACATAATATTTAAATTTTTTCAAAGATTAATTGTCATGAAATAGAGGAAACATTATTGCACTAAAAACAAGATTAACTGTTAATCAACTCTATCCAATAACCAGCTAAATGGCCTTGAATAGAAAAATTATCTTTTCTGAGTCTTTGCTTTGTCCTTGATAAAGAGGGTTTTGCACTCACTTGCTACTTGGTAAGATGCCCATGACACCATGATTTTCTTTTCCCAGATATATCATGAGAGGTAAAAAGAACACTGGGGTTGTAGGTCAAAGACCCAGGTCCAACAGTTTATCATAAAAATGGATGTTCAACTTGAAAAGGTCAGATATTCCAAAATCAGAAAGCAAAGCTCCAATTCTTGTTTGATTTGTTTATTCATTTTTTTTGCCTCTATACATTAGTTTATTCATTCTTTTATTCTACTAATATTTATTTGGTATCTACCAAATATCAGGCAGTGGGTTATGCCCAAGCATAAAGCCACAAACAAAACAAGCCTGGACCTTGGACAAATTTCAGGAAATGTAATCCATAAGGCTTGAGAAGTAGACATCATAGAACCTAGTGATTATTTAGATTTTAGGAGTTAGGGACAAGAAAATCCAACAATAATGTTCAGGTATCTGGCTTAAGCAAATGGGCCAATGGTCATGTACCTTTTGAAATGAAGAACACATGCAAAAAAAAAAAAAAAGAAGAAGATTTAAGGATAAGATGAGGAGTTATAGTTAAGAAATATTGAGGTCGAAGTGGCTGTAAGTAGGGTGCCTGGGTGGCTCAGTCGGGTGCCTGTGTAGCTTAGTCGGTTGAACGTCTGCCTTTGGCTCAGGTTGTGATCCCAGGGTCCTGGGATCGAGCCCCGCATCAGGCTCCTGCTCTGGGGGAGCCTGCTTCTCCCTCTGCCTCTCTCTCTCTCTCTCATAAATAAATAAATAAAATCTTTAAAAAAAAAAAAGGTGGCTGTAAGGAAGGCAAGAGATGGGGAGGTACAAGCCTGGGACTCAGAAGCAAGGTCTTAACTAGAGTGATAAATTTTGGTATTTTACTCATTAATTAAAACTAGCTTGCATATGGTAATAAAAGCCATAAGACTGTTCATCCAGGACCAAGTATATCAGAATAAAGTAAGAAGACCTAAGACAGGGTTCTAAGGATCTTCAATAGGCAGAGTGATAGAGGAGCAGGCTCAGAAAATTAGGAGAAGTGGGGTACCTGGGTGGCTCAGTCAGTTGAGCATCTGACTCTTGGTTTTGGCTCAGGTCCTGATCTCATGGGTAGTGGAACTGAGTCCCGTGTCTGGCTCCACGCTCAGTGGGCGTCTGCTTGGATATTCTCTCCCTTTGCCCCTTCCTCCACTCTCTCTCTCTCTCTCTTTCAAGTAAATATATAAATCTTTAAAAAAGAAACTTAGAAGTGCAAGAGAATAGAAAAGAAACTGGATATAGCAGCCAATGGACTGATTAAGAATGTAAAGGAGGAGGGATGAATCAAGTAATCTGAAAATTCATGGAAGTAAGAAAAGAATCAGAAAGATCCCTTTTGATGAGATGGAAATCATGGGTATCTGGAGTGAAAGGAGTTTGGAGGCCAAACCACAGACTGGAATGAGTTCAAAACTGAACTGGAGAAGAGTCAATTGAACAAGCCATGTGATCCTTAACCCTTTGAACTTCAGTTTCTGCCTACAAAATAGGAATTACAATATCTTCTTCATATGACTGCTGGGAGGATTAATTCACAGAACACATGCAAAGTGCCTAATAAATATTTACTACTTCACCAAAAAGACACTGAAGCATTCTAAGAGCATGTCCACATACTTCCATCATCCCATCTAACCATTCACCAGTGTCTGTAGTCACATCCCCTCTTAACACTTCCATCCAAAATACTCCCCATACCTTGGCTTATCTCCTTTTCAAATATCTCCTGGATTCACCTTTCTTATCAGCATTCCCCAGGGTTCATCAACTCAGATGTCGATTACCGACCAGCCTCAATTCACTCTACAGCTCCAAATCCCTGTCACGATAAACTTAGT